ATTTAATAAATTATAAATAAATTGTAAATAAATAATATGAAAACTTAATTGATACGAGTTCAAACAATTTTTTATTACTGATATTTCCAATCTAACCTAAATTAATCAATATATTCACAAATTCAGACGATTTAAATCTATTATTGAAAATGCTACTAAGATGCCATTTTGCAAGCAGATCATCAGCTAGATGAATAGTACGATCTACAGCTATAAAAGCTAATAGATTTGCCTCATCACTATCTGAAAAATTTTCCTTACCAATCATACCCATCCAATTTTGAATTACACGCACCCATTGTTCTGTTAAATCAATGGTATCATTGTTATTACATTTAAAATTAGGTTCATGAAATTGTGTAAAGGATTCTTCTCCACCACTGATTGTTATATTATCAGCCATCTCACTATCATCATCTTCTTTCTCAGAAGTTTCAGAAATATCTGAAACATCAAAAATTTCATAAGGTTGTATAGGAGTCGCTATATGATTTTGTTTATAAATTTTTTCTGATTTTTCAACTTCAAGTTTTTTTCTTTTACGCAAAATATCATTCCTTAATTAACTCATTACAAGCACTTTTTATGCTTTTAAATTAAATTAAAATATTTAATAATATATCAAAAAAGTAATGAATCAATAAAAGTCTAAATTTTACTTACATAAAGTCGATTTCACCTTTTAAAGTGTAAAAATCCTATATTAGACCAGAGTCACTCTACTGAGGCGGAATTAACACAAATTCTATATAAATGAAGTGCAAAGCATGATAATTCAAGTGCTTGCCCTTTTACTAAATCCTAAAAATCTATTATATCCCCACCAAGTTGATTAAAAGTTTGCATATCAAAAGGATAAATTTTTCGTTGATAAAAAAGTATTCATGTAAAATATGTTGTGATATTACACCAAACTAAACCTGATAATAATAATTGATCAACTGGCTAAAATGAGTATAAGAAAGATTTAGAATATTATTATTAGAAAGTGAAAGACGATACTGTGGATGTAAAACTAAAGATAAAAGTAAGAGAGGTTGTTCCCATTGATTCCATCGATTTTCAAGGCGGGTAATCATTTGATTAGAAAAATTCTCATTTTGATAACTAAAAAATTCTTTAGTTATCCATCCAAAAGCAAGAATTACTTCATGTAATCATGCTATATCATTTTGTAATTTGTTTAATGCTGCACAAAGTGGTAAAATTAGATCTTGAAGTTCATACAAATGGCTCCAAAAATTATGGTCATTAATTATGGTAATTATATCTAAAGAAAAGAATTTTTTATCTGTAATTAGAATATGTCTTTGTCTCTTGTAACCACTTCGAGATGTAGAAGGACCTTCAAGACGTTCAGGTGCAAATTTTGTAACTAAAGTCTAAAAAAATAAAATTAAATGAATATTTATTCATTAATTAATAAACTAAAGCATAAATTTATCTTAAGTACTGCTTCAGTTTTTAAAATACTGTAAAAACAGAAATAATAACTATTCCAACGTATTTCACCTGGAGTAGTCAAAGCTATTGTTTTACCATATAATAATTCTTGCTCATTTCATGATAAATCAGTAAAATAAGTTGATGAATGAAAATAACTAACAATTTTAACAGCTCTTGTTGATGTTTGCTGATAAATATCTGATTCTTTAAAGATATCCCCCATAATTAAATTCATTTAGTGAGCTATGCAAGATAAAAATATCTTATTAGGATAATCTTTTCGCATAATCCTTCTATTAAAATAAATTATATTTTCAGTTTTTGATCTTATATCACTTATATCTTTTGCATCTCAAATGAGTGTTTCTCCTGTTGATGTTATAAAAACAACATCAAATAAATGCTCTTGTTTAACATTTGTCCAACCATCAAATGCTGCTATTACTCCAATTTTATCATTTTGTGCAATTTTTGTAATAGATTCTGTTAACATTTTAGTTAATTTTGGTAAAATTCGGTCACTCATCCTTTTCTGACTTGGTAATTTTAAGGCTGGAGCAATAAATTCAAATACATCTTTAGTTTCTTGATTTTCAAAAAAAGTAAAAGATAATCCATTTGAAACTAACATTCGTAATAGTAAGATTTCAAAATATGGCTTATCTTTCTTTGTTAAAGGTCGTGATAAATAATTTGTAATAGGTAGTTGAGTAGTAGTGATTGGTTTTGGTAATTGAATTGAGGTTTCGTCATCATCACCATCATTTTCTTCATCACTTTCATCTTCACTTTCGGAATCTAAAAATTTATATCACAAAAAAGTATATTGATATTTCTGTTAGAAATTAAAAAATTAAAAGAACTTAGAAGAAAAGTGTAATTTAAAACTATTAAATATTTAGTACCTTCAATTAT